AGCACAGCCAGCAATTGTTCCAGGAGCACCAGGTCCAGCATCTGAGCTTTGGTGTGTTTTTCTGGTTGCAGCCACTGACGACAAAGATAGTGAAGCTGAGTACAAACATCTCGGGGGCGGCTCCCCTCCTGGAACTGCACTTTTGTGAAATAAAAGCATTGGACCTCTGAATTGTTGGGTGCCTCTTCGTGGCTCTTCTTCCCAGGATTCATTGCCCAATTCCTCCCACAGCTCCAAGGCTGAGCAGCCGGAGGGCCTTTTCTAATTTCAGCATCTGCTGGGGGTTGTTGTCCCTCCATCTTCTCTCTGGTCTCTAATACAGCTCCAAAATGGACCCATGGATCTCCGCAGGTCTTTCTGTTCACAATAGGTCTGGCAAAATTTTCCAAGGCCATTCAGCTCTCTTCCCAGACAAGATACTTAAAACTTCAGAAGAACCAGAAAATATTTCCAGCTTACACACCTGAAATGGAAAAGAAATAATTCAGGGTGTTTATTAGGGTGATTAATTGACTACTGAGCATCCTTATGAAGGGCGAAAAGGGAAGGGGGAACAGAAGGGGGAAAATTACAGATTTGGATGAACCTACCAATGTCTGGAATGGTGGTGGAGGGAACGTATTAGTAAGCTTGATCTCTCTACATATGGGGAAAATTGCAGAGAACCCTTCAGGATGTCAATGTCTATCAATATATTAGAAAAATACATTTAAATATGCTTTTGATTTCTGCCTCCTAGTTTTTATTAAAATTTAATTTTTATGTTCATGTCTTCTGTATTATTATTATAAATTACTCTAGGAAGCAATTATACATAATGCTCATTATTTCTCACACAACAGCCCTGTGTGGTAGATCGGACTGAGAGTTGGGATGGGCTCAAGGCTTTCGTGCCAAAGTCTGGACTAGACCTAGAAGTTAACCTCTTGATTTCAAGCCTTGTGCTTTCATCATTGAACCAAATGACTCTCTATGGCTAACTTTAACTTTATTTAATACAATAGACAGTTTAATATCATTTCTATGGCTACATAGTTAAGACCAACTATCTGTCCCATAAACAGCAGATGATACGAGGGGCTCTCTAAATCCACTTAATACATAAACCAACTAGGCCAGAGGTCTCATTCTCGCGGCCCGCAGGACGATATCCTGTGGCCCCCACCGTGACATGAAAGTATAATATTATTGCGTTCTCCATGTGTCGCTAGCTGGCTAAACACTTCTATGTGCGGCCCAGCCTCACGCAGACTCTGCCTCCAGCGGCCCCCAGGTAAATTGTGTTTGAGACCCCTGAACTAGGCTTTCAACACCCAGGCTTTACAAAAGCCAAGCTTGACAAAAAACGCTTGCCTAATCATATCTTAGGAGCACCTCCCTCCTACATCTTCCTCCTTTACCGGGTGGCAGAACCAGACAGTGGAGAAAGGCAGGAAACCAAGCTGCAGTCCTTGCATACCTTGCACCCAACTCCTTGCACACGGAGTTGCAGCCTTTGTACGCTCGCTTCTCTCGGCCTAAGAAGGAGGCGAGGCGAACCCCTTTCTGAAAACGGGGCCAAGAAATATGGAGGAAACTGTGCAGGAGTCAAGGCTGACTTGGAAGCACTCCTCCTCTCCCTCCCATCCAGAGCTTTTCCCGTCGAAACGGAGGGTAAATCCTCTTCTCTAAGACCCTGTTTTTTTTTCTTCCTGGGGGAAAATCCGAAGCTTTGCTTTCTCCCCTGCCTGGCCCGTGCATGCACAGGGGCGGCAGGGGAACTTGGGACCACCACCACCCCCTTCCCACGACTCCAAGCCTGATGGAAGTTTTGCATGTCTTCATGCGAGTCTCCAGCACGGGAGATAATCCCCCGACTCCCATCAATGAACCCCGACTCACATCTGGATCTCCAAGTCCAAGACTTCCCTGCAGCCTCTTTGCTTGTTGGAAAGGCTGACCCGGACACCGTGGAAAGAGCGGAGAAGCTTTCAAGCGTTTGCTGGAAAATGCCTCCGGAAGCACGTATATGTCTCTTGTCTAGGACGGAGGCCGGCGCATGCTCAGTTCTCTTGTAAGGCGGGGGCGCGGAAGGAGCTGCCCGGCTCTTCCAGGGAGCCCCCTAGAGGATCCTGTGCGCATTGCGAGAAGACCCTCCAAGGGCGCACGACGTCATGTTCCACGCGGGGCTAGGATGATGGGCATTAAAATTGAAGGAAAGTTTCCCCCTAACATTGCCTATCTAGAAAGGAAGTGGTCTCTCCGGCAGGCGTCAGTTTGTAGACTTACCTTTTTTTAATTTCTAAGAAGCACCTGTAATCTTGTGAAGATTGAGAAAATCTCTGTGGAGATTCAAAAATCCGGTTCCTGGAGAGCAGCTTCTCTGAAGGGATTCCCGAAGGCATCAAAAAGGAGCAAAATCCTGTCAGAAATGGCAGGGCAGTCAAAAGACAAGGAACGAAAGTCTCTCTCTATGAAACCCATCCTGTGTCTTGTGGCTGATGGCAAACTCAGCCCTGAAGTGAGGGGAGATCAGGGACCTCGCAGAGACACAGGGAGGAAAGAGATTTGTATTGGTTTTTCTTTTTCAATTATTATAATTCCGTTTTCAAATTCATACCCTGGGCAGTCAAGGAGGGTTAGAAACACCAAAGGCAGCGTGTTATAATGTGAATAATCCTGAAAAATGGATCGTGATGAAAAAGAGGTATCATCATAAAATTTCCAAAATGGAGTTGAAAGCTCAAAATTGTGCACCTTAAAAATTTTATACTTCGAAACAAAGCACCATGATGGAGAAATTAAGATTGGGAGAATAAAGTCTGATATGTGACTAGAGAAAAAGTAAAGGAAGGCAAATACCGAAAAATAAATATAAAGCTCAAATACCGCAAGGCCAAAGAGAGATTAGCGAAAAAGTAAAATTACAAAATGAAGGAAGGCAAATACTGAAAAAAATATATAAATACCACAAGATTAGAAAATAATATGAGAGACTTTTGAGGAAAAAGCCCTGCACATTTGTGGTGTTGGAATGGATTATATGGCAACACCTAGC